GTGCGTAGATGTAGCGGCTCTAGTCTCAATGACATTAATTTCCATGAACTTCTCATTGAGATAATCCGTAAAATCAAAATCATCATCATCATCATCAACACCTACTCCTCGCTCTTTTGCTAACTCTGAAATTTCAGCTCGGAGCTTTTCCACTTTATCCTCAACTGCTTTCTCCTGAATTAACTTCAGATCTATAAATCCTTCTCTAACATCATTTTGCTCGGAAACAGACTCTATAACAACGGTGGTAAGAACATCTGGTATATCAGACCTATGCTTCATTCCTCGGGAAAACTCTATGGGCTCATCAGAACGTACTGGTGCGACACCCTTGGGTATCCACACTTTCTCCTTTGATGCTAATACCTTAAGACAGGGTGTTCTGACGGAGGCATCAGAGCATCGAAGAGAAAGTATGCTTCCCACGGTGTGGACCAAGTACACCGGTAAGCGGTATTTTCCCTTTATCCCCCTTCGGGAAACTCTTACAAGCAAAAGTGGGCGGTAATTTCGGACCCAGTCGTGACTTAATTGGTCGATGTCCTACGGATTTTGGAGTAACAGTAGTAGAATCTGGGACAGTGGCAATAATACTGACTCGGTTCTCAAGACAAAATTTGGCTGGAACATGGGCTGGGGGTTCTGCTAATTTCTGGAACTGACGAACAGGTTTGATCTTCATTAAAATCTCATTCTTCATCCGTGGCGAAACTGCGCAGCCTACTCGCTTGAGTAGCTCGGCAACTGAACACCCTTCCTTAGCGGTCAATCTTTCAATTACAATACATACTCTGGTGATAGGAGAGAGCTTCTCCCTTTCCCTATCATGATCCTGTGGTGACAGTAGAGCAACAACAATTTTATGGAGACTCTCATTTCCTGTAGAATTTGACAAGGGATGAACCTACTCCCTCGGACGGGAGGAGAGGTCTCAATCACCCCGAGTTCCTTTTGCTGAGGAATCTCATCATCAGATACGAACTCTATAACCTTGGCCCAGACGACCCTCTAAATTTTGCAATTACGATTCCATTTCTATGACTTGGTCAGTCGCTTAACTCTTGAGCTGGAACCGACCTCGAACACTGACGACAGGGCAGGAAACTCATCCTCTGAATCTTCATCGATCAAAATTTCTTTCCCTTTAGTAGACGATGCGGTAGGTACAGTAATGGTAAATCCGACGGTAGTAGGTGTAACGACTCTCCTTGACACGAGAGCGGCAGATCTGGTAGGCACTAGAACAACAGACTTAATGGGTTTTGGGGCAGTAGCGTTCTTCACCTTCTTGTAAGAAGGGAAGTCCTCGGGACTGTTCAAATCGAACTCAACTGCTGACTCTTGAACTTTTGGACCAGCAACCTTCATGATGACGAATAGGGCCTTGCCAAGTACAACTTCAAACTCTCCGAATCCAGCTACAAACTTGATCATTGAATCAATGTTGCGGGCGTTGCGGCCCGTAGGCAGGTTGCAAGAAAATGTGAGAGTTGAGAATGCCATCATAGCAACTTCAAAGAAAAAGTTCTGAGGGTTGGTATCGGCTATCACTTTGTAATTTCAGTGCGAACACTGAAAATTAACAAAGGTCGTTCTGTGGACTGAGTATGTCCTTCTTCTTTTATTTTTCAAATTTATTATTTATTTGTGATTATAGCATTAAAGTGTTTCGATTAACAAATTAAACGAGGGCGAAGAGACCACGTAACCCGAAAGATACAAAGAAACGACGATGTTTAGGACCCAGTGCAAGACCAACTTCACAACGCACATTACCGAGGCGGAACTAGTCCACCGGCACATCTATTGGGAGTCTGACCCCACACAGAAAGATAAAGTCCTAAATGACTCCTGGACTTCTCTGTTTAAAGGTGATTAAACTGACGGTCCAAAAATCCAAAATGGTTGATTTTACTTGCCTTCCTAAGAAATGTGTAAAGCATGCTAACAAAAGAAGGGTAATCTGATCCATGAGGGACATTGACACATTACCGATGTATGAAGACAAAATTTTTTGATCATAATAGAGAGTAGATCTAATCCTAAGTGGAGTCACCTGAAATTTATCAACCGCAAAAAAAATTATTTAAGATTCCAAATGTAAGATGTGGTTTTGATTTAATTTAATATACATATAAGTTTGATTTTTGTAGAAAAATAGTATTTTAATTTTGAAAAGTACAACAAAAATAACATAGCCTTAATCCCACTACGTGGGGTCGGCTACATGAATCCTTTTTCTCCATTGTGTCCTATTTAGTGTCATATTTTCATTTAGTTCTAGTAAATTTAGATCATTATTTATACAATAATTTTGAAAAGTAATGTCTTAATTTTGAATATACGAGACCGAACCGATCTTATATAAACGATAGTTTAAATAAATGAGCATGACACCGTAAGTGATAGGTCTATTACGAGGGATAGACATATTACTTACTAGTGGGACCCGATTAAATAAATTAAATAACCTATGACATCTGTTTGGTCTGCGAACTATTTTTATATAAGTCGACAAGTTCCCCTTATCTAATATGGAAGATTAGGAAGGGTTTATATTACCTGAGTTCTTAAAGCTCCATATAGAGACAAACCCTTATAGTTAAATCCTAAAATTTCGTTATCTTGAATATTTTAATTAAATTTTAAGGAAAAATTAAGATTTTAAGACCTAAGGAGCCTATATTGCATCGTGATTCCTAGACAAACCACAGAAATAAATAAGGAAAACAATCCAAGCATGCAATAAGACAAGAAACGATTCCTAGACAAACCACATAAATAAATAAGAAAAACAATCCAAGCATGCAATAAGACAAGAAATAAGCCAATAATTAGAAAAATATAAAAGGCCAATACCGCTGGATCAACAACATATCCTAGAAATGAAAAAGACAGTTGAATTTCACATGTATATGTCTAGTTTTATCTTTATACATCGACATAAACTTTAGAATTAAGATACGGGAGACGAACATTAGCTACTAGTCTCCTCTATGCGGTTCCCGTACCAAATGCCTCGGAAATCGTGCTCGTATTTTTTTATGCTACTGGACTCTCCTAAACCCTAAAATTACATAGGAAAAGGTGAAATGGCTCGATCTGCAGGAAAATCATATTAACGGGGAAAGCCATGCAACATATAATGAGTCATGCTTGGTGGGGGAGCTAAGCAGCACCTGCAAGTAAATGGTTAGTAGAAATCATTACATGCTCCTCTTTTCAATGGTATCTATGTGTGTGCAATATGTAGGCACGACTTCCTGAAGAAGAACGTCCTAGCAAACAACCATGCATATCAAGTATGTAGTCACACCAAAAACATAAAACAAGAAAGATGTCTGGCTGGGTCAATAAAATGGGCAGAGAGCATCAGTCAGACATTAAAAACACTACCTAAAATCTTAGACCTTGCCTAACACACTATTTAACGAAAAACATCATAATTAGTGTCTAAGTGCTCAGGGTAAAGTCTCATACTATCATATGACTTTGACAGGGTCGCCGCATCAGCCTTGTCCTAAAGATCCAAGGGATTAAAGTAGATTACAAGAGAGGAGTGACATTTTAAAATAAGTGGCATCACATATGACTTATGTTGTTTTAAAAGTTGGTTGAATAGTGCTATAATAGTAAAAATACTCATTTTTTACTTTTAAAATAGCGGTCGTGATACACATGAAGCATGTTAGAACCCTTGGATCCTTAACACAGTCATACTCATGTCAATCCTGATGACTTAAATCACATTATTCACTGGGATCAACCCAACAAGTAATGCTCGTTAAGGTATTGCGACTGACACATGATCACTCTCCTAACGAGCAGGACAATCCTATTTTGTAGGGCTCATTCGATAAAGCAGTTCGTATGGAGAAACTATGTCGGGAATGAAATCCTTGACAGGCTGGGGAACTCTTAATAACAACCTTTCCAAAGAAGCTTCTTCTTCTTTTGTAGTAGAAGTTGGATCCCATTTTAGAATTTTCTTTCCCATCAATCTAACAAGACATTTCTAAACCTAAGGTTCATCTCTTATGTATGGCCATTTGTCTATGGGTGCTTTGCTGACTTGAATTTAATAGTCGAATAGCTCCATATAGTCTTTCAGAAGTAGCTAACAAGCTTTTCATTTCTGACATGTTGGACCATTTTTAGTGGTAACAATCCACGAAGTGAACTGTCGGTCATGATGTCTGATAATTCCGTGAATTGGGGGGTTACCCATTTTCAAATATCAGCTTGAGAGGAAGTGACAGAAGATATCAGAAACTCAAATTAGGCTTAGGTCGAGGGTGGTGGTGATTCGGTTTGAGGGGAAGTAATAGGTATGGGGGATTGAAAACTTACAACACAAGGAATACAAATATATAATCCTAAGATGGCTAGGAGTGAACATCACTCCCAATATGTGATCTTGCGCTTGGACCAAACTGTCTAGACGCAGCAATTGCCACACCCTTGCGTGGGCACACAATCTCGTATCCGTCTTTGACGCCCCGCATTACCCTGGTTGAAGCTTAGCTTAATTTCTATAATATAGTTTTTCTTGGTATTAATGAGCTTGACGCTTAGGTCAAACTTAGAACCTAGTCTTGGATCCAAAAGTTTGAAATTTAAATTGAAGTTTCTCTTAATTTTCAGCTCTATTCTGTCATCCTAAGACAGTTTTTATAGTTGCCAGCAAAATATTTCTTGGTTTATTAATATGGTATTTTTTCCAAGTAATCTAAATAAATTTAAGCTTATGGTATTTCATTTTATTCTTCTTTTAAAATATTCGTCTTTGGATTTCGTTTTTTATTTGGACGATAATTGTTTTATGTTTCTCATTCCTTGCCTTCGATTGAAGTTATTCTTTAAAGGTTTCAGGGAAAGCCGATGGGTTGGCTCTTTTCAATAATGGTGGTTTAATTATTATTTATGCATTTTTTATATTGTAGATTTTTTTGTTGTGATTCAAAATTTCATTTGATAAAGCAATTTGTTCTTAAAAACAGGAAGCGCCAGTGCTTGGCTTGCCCATGTATTTCGCCAAAAATCATGAAGGGTAATGTTTGCTTCTTCTATTGCTTGTCATCTTTAAACTTAACAAGCTGACTTTTATCAATTTTGACATTTGTCACATTGATATATTTGGAGTTAAAAAAGTATATTCTTGCTTATAGCTAGATTTCTTAGATTTATGCATGAAGTTATGAATTTCTTTACTATTATCAGCTTTATTTTGTTTCTATTTTCTTAAGTCTTATCTGATTTACCTTTGCCTTGTACCTCTTCCCTATCAGGGCATGCTTACTTTTTTTTTCATCGTTTAAGATTATATTTGCAAATAGTGCTCATAACATTAATCTTTTAGGAACATTTGTTCAATAACACAATTTTCTTTGATATGGATTTTAACAAATATGATTAATATTGCTCAACTGTTGATGCAGTATAAGATTTATTACGTTCTACCATAGCCCACAAAACATAATTCATATTAGTTGGCCTCTAGTCCTGATCGATTGATTGTTTACTGAACCTGTTTGTTTTATACAATGTGAGGGTTCACAAGCAACTTTTCTTTTGCAGGTATCAACTTTAGGTAAAAACACTGAGATAGGCAATGATCTAATAGAAGTTTGAGAACTTGATGCATAATTGGTCTCTGCCTTGCTGTTATTTGACTGGGTTGGCAAGTAAATACATAGCCTTCTTGGTATTGCGAAGTTGGATTAGTACCTATTTAGACGGGCTTTCGACTTACTTTCCTTCTTAGATTAGGAATCTTTCAGCAAAGAACCAAATGATCACTTGCCTCTAAGCATCAAGGAGTGTCTATTTGTGAGGTCAAGCCAGGAGGAGCCAATCATTGGTGCTTGTCTGTAACCAGATGGAGTTTGCCATAACAACCAGGTTTTTTCGGTAACATTAGCGTCAAGTGGCTGGAGCTGTATGGAACTCGGGCGTCATGCTGCCCTCACATCCATCTTTATTATGTATATGAATTGGATTTTTGAATTTTGAAGGTGTAAACTATTGAAGCAATTAAATGATTGGTGCCCTCATAGCCATTTGTATGGTGATAGAGTATGCATCTACAAGTATAGAACTAATTTTTTGAACTTTCCACCTTTTAGTTTTGAGGTGAATCTAGATATTGGTTGTGAAAAAAAGTATCAATATTAATAGCTGAATTTCGAAGATTGCTAATTTTTTCAACTACGTAAAACTTCAATGAAAATTCTTAATGAATTAATTTTGATTATTACTTTATACAATAGTGAAGCATTGATGAATCCATGAAAAACCTTAGAAACCTTTTTTCATGTGAACATAAAAAGTACTCAAATTGATTATATGGGAATTAATGCAAATATAAATAAGAATAATTTTTTCACTTCTTATTTCTGGATAATATTTGAAGATAAATGAGCTGTCTTTCAATAGTGGGCGCAATGAATAGTTGGTATAAATATACTGGCCAAGGTTACCTATGGTGCCCTTTAAAAAAATGTTGGCAGGCTACTAGAGAATTTTATAGTAGTATGCATTATGAAATATGTTAATCTTCGGCAGGCATCGATACAAACAAGTTTGCCTCTATATTTAAAGTTGTTGGCTCTAAAATTCCTTAAAAAAATATTAGAAGATATTATTTCTGTGCTGAGGGGTTTCAAACTTGGAAGGCTCGTGCAAGAAAATATTTGGAAGATGAAAGATGCTAAGGTTATTGCTTATGCTGAAGCACATGGTTGCTTTTCGCAAGATTAGTCTTATTATTGCTGTTAGCTGCCATGACTGGGATCTTGCACAGATCGCTTCGTTTAGATTTTAATCATTCCATATATTACCATTGAAAAATGTTTCTATGATGAGCATTTCATGAGCTAGGTTCTTCGTTTTCTTTTTTGGGGGACGTTCGGTAATCCTACCGAAGGTAACCTTGTTTGAAGCCAACCAACAAGGCTTCAACAAAAATGACCACTAAATGTAATTTGAAAGTGAATGAATGACGGAACATTCATGAAGCAAAAGCTAATGTTAACTGTTGTCAATGAGTTAGTTTTTTATGCGCCTTTTTTGTCTAAAAGCTTTTGTTGCTTTGATGAGATTGCTTTAATGTTTAGTAATTAGGGAGCTAACTCTCTTGCTCCCTATTAAAAACATACTTTTCATTTGAAACTCAGGAGTATTAATAGCAGATGGGCACAGTGTGAAGATTGTTGGAAGTGGCGCAGGTTACCATTAGACTCTCTTCTGAATCATAGATGGACATGCTCTGATAACAAGTGGGATCCTGAAAGGTAATGAAATTCTTTTTAGTCAGTTGTTATGTATTGTTGTTTTTTATGTTTTTTAATTTTATTTCCTTATAATGGTGTTTTGGCTGACTTTGTACGGTGTTGGTCAATTTTGAAGGTTCATTTTAGTTTAGCTTGGAAAAATGAACCTGAATTCTTGATTTTTTCTTAGAGCTGATTGGGCAGAGTTTCAAATGATGCATCAGTTTCTTTATTAAATAGTTTATTTTGACGCAATTTATGGTCGTCATTCACTTCGTTATTGCCATCATCATCTCCATTATATATATCTCGTGCTTATCAATGTGCCACTTATTTCTGGGTATATTATGTTTAAGGATTTGGCGGCTATATAAAAATTATTTTCCAATCCTAGAAATATTGTTTCTGGTATTAGTTTAGCATACTTACGAAGAACATTACTTTCATGTTCCATTATCAATCACGGCTAGATTGGAGTGGATGAAATTAATATTGGTTACTCAATGACATGCGAGTTCAACTTAATAAATACAAGTCAAAATCAGACGGGTTAGAAAATTTAGTTAAAAGTTCTAGTGAAATTAATTAACCAAATAAGAATGGTGTTCTAGTGATTCTGTTAAATCTATCAATTTCAATTGGTTTGTTGGATCTACTATCAAAGTATTGTAGGAGAACTTATGAGTGAAAGCTTTTTGTGTGATCATGATTTAGGAGTGTGAACTGAGCTGATCGAGGCTTGTGAGCAATTAAGTGTTTCAGATTCAGGGTTGTGACAAGATGTAGTTCCTTATCTAGAGATCAAGGGAGTAACAAACACATGCAGAGTTCGCAAGTAGGCTTATGTCATCAGGGAGTAGCAAATACATACAGATTCCGCAAGTAGGTTTATGTCATCAGGCTCATTTTGGTCTTGATCTCTTATCTTACAGGATAGGCTTGAGATCGTAACAGGGAGATTGAGATTCTACGACTGCTGCAGTTTCGATGAGAGGATAGCATAGATTTATTTTTTATTCTTTAGAGATTGGTGAAAAAGTTCTTATTCTCTTCTCTTCGGCCTCAAAATTTAATGAGAGCTCTACTCTTCATGGCACTTCTTTTTCTAAGTGGATTTGATATTCTTTTTTACCGCTTTCAATTGTACTTTGTACATTTGGTAGTGGTTTGCTTCCATATTTCAAGAATGTTGGTCATTCTTCACCAAATCACATTAATGGTGTTATTCTCATCTTTTTTTTGTTGTGTTTATTGTTATCCTTTATATTAGCGTATGATGCCAGTATTATTTCTACTAGGTTTATTATGTATCACTTTTGGGCACTCTAAAAAAGATGCGGTGCATCAACTTCAACAAATTGTTATGAAAGTTGACTTACAGAAACTTGGAGATGTGTTCAAAGCCATCTGCCAACTTACCAAATATGAATCTATGCAAGGTCTATTTAAATCTCTGGCGGAAAATGATTCAGTAATTGGCATATATGAGGAAAAGGATATGTATTAAAAATCCCATTGCTTGATTTTTCTTAATTTGGGAAATGTAGTTCCTTGAAATATATCTTATTAGTGTGTTTCTCAAAATGTGGAAAACATTGAAATACCTCTAATTAGAAAAATCATTTATCTACCATCATTATTTGAAGCAACAATTGTTCCTATTTCTCATGAAAGATGGTACATTACTACAAAAGCACGTAATACCTATAACAAGTTATTTTTGGATCTAGAAAATTTTGATTTATGATGGAAGACAATAATTTGATCATGTTATGTGCTCTATCATCCACTTTTGAGCACATTGCAATCACTTTATTGTATGATAATGACACTGTTTTTATAACAGAATTGTATTCTACAATTATATTTAATGGGTTGAAGAAGAAGGTGAAATGATAAGCTCAATAGAAGACAAGTAGAAACTCTTACAAATAAATAGATGAAGTTGAAGATCAAAATCAAACTCTAAAAAAAAAAAAGGTGATATCACTACTATAACAAGCTTCTTTGGAAATTAGATTTTAGAATTTTACAAGGAAATATAGAAGAATTATAATGGAAAATTGAGGCAATTGGGAGATGAATTTCCATATAAATTGGGCGAAAAAAATATTCTTTTCAATACCCCAAACAACACAACCTGAATATATAAAAGATAAGTACATACAATTCGAAGTTGGTGATCTCTGCTAAACACTAATCCTAAAACTCAAGACAACAATCTCCTAGTCCTCTAGCTTTGAACATATTAGCCCTATTTATACCCCACAATAATAATTGATAAAAGACTAAATTGCTCTTTGGCGCAGAAAAGGACTAAATTGCCTTTTAAGTGCTGACTAACAAAAATCTTTTTCAAAATTAGCAGTTGTTGTTGCGAAAGAAATGGAGAGTTTGACTTAGTTTTGATAGCTGCATGTTCTTATATTTCTTCTCTTAAAGATTGGATTTTTTATTCTAAATCTTCTTATAATTGACTTGACATGCAGGGTTGGTTTTCTTATAGGTTTGTTGACATTAAAAATGTATTTACGGGCAATGAATTGACCTTAAGATTATTGTAGTAAGGATTATTCATATCACGATTCATGATGCAGCTATGAAGACTATGGAAGAGATCATACATATGCTATCTTTGAAGAAAAATCTTGTCTCTTTGTGTTGTTGTTTAAGTGCAGATACACATACATTGATGAAGGTAAGAGTGCCATGATTTGCATATGGGCAGATAACTTGGCATTCTCTACTACCTCCAAGGCAGGATAAAGATAAGTGATGCTTTTGTTTTCTTGATGATTTTGATTACATTATGGTAAATGAGACTTGGGCATATTGATCTAAGTGCTACCTATTGAAGTTTAGCACAAGATATTTTATTTGTGGTCAAAAGACTGAACCTTTAGATTTTTGTGAACATTATGTTCTAGGCAAGCATTGCAAATATTCTAGGTAAACCTGGCAAATTGAAGTTTCTTATTATAGTTCATTGTATCATGAATACATTGGACCATGTTGAGATTTCTAATAACCTTTTAGAATTTGAACAAAGATTAGATCTATATGTATGCTTATATTATATAATATCTATGTTAACGGATTTTATGTTTAAAGTTTTGACTTAAAACATTCAAGTAGTAGGAGAAGTAAATTGAGAAGCAATAAAAACCATATCCTAGATATTTTTTGTAATGATAAGATGTGCGCAAGATCAATTATGAATTTATTAGGTACAAGGCCAAACATAGATGATGGATTATGAGTTTTTTTCTAGTTTTGCCAAACATAAGATTATAGTGGGAGCATCTCAGTAGAATGGAGTGGAGAAAGAATAAACATGACACTCTTGCTAGTTTGTTTTATTGTAAGTGTTGCAATGATATCTATTTGTTTTGACATAACACATGAATTTAGTTCCTACATTTGTTTGGGCTGCAATGACTTTGATGTTAATCTTCTTTACATTAATAATTCATTATTCTATTATGATTTAAGCTGAAATAATATTTCAATCGACCATCACATTAATTTAGTCATATTGTATTATTATTAAAAGTAAAACTAAAGTAACTTATTAGCCCTTAAATATGCAATTCTCTTCTCATCTTTATAACGGTGAAAGTTAAATGTAAGAAACTAATTATTATTTAGTTTTAACCAAACAAATACTTAAACTCAATCTCAAAGTATGATTCAATCACTCAGAGGCATTTTTAGAGAAAGAAGTAGACTTAAGAATGGTTGTGCATGTTTTCTATTATTAATTTGAAAGGATTTGTGGGCAAAGGCTATTAGTACTCCATATTATTTGATGAACATGTTAAGCTGAAAACCTTTGAACTGGTAAGGGAGGTCATCTTTTAAATTATGGTTTATAGAACTTTGGTTGTCCCTTCTAATGTTTATGTCAAATGGAGTAGGCTAAATTCTTAAGGTAAAAGTTCGTATTTCTTGGTCTTGCAGATTGGGTGAACGGATAAATCATTGGTGCGCCTGGATCTTCAAGAAGCGAGGTTTTAATAAGTGGAAGATACTCTTAATAAAAATGATATCTATTTGTTTTGACATAACACATGCATTTAGTTTCTACATTTGGGCTGCAATGACTTCGATGTTAATCTGCTTTGCTCTAATAATTCATTATTTTATTATAACTTAAGCAGAAATAATATTTCAATAGATCATCCTATTAATTTAGCCATATTCTATTATTTTAAAAGTGAAGTAAAACTAGAAGTAACTTCTTAGCCCTTCAATATGCAATTCACATCTCATCTTTATAACGGTGATTGTTAAAGGTAAGAAATTAATTATTATTTAGATTTAAGCAAACAAATTTTTGAACTCAATCTCAAAGTGTGATTCAATCACACAGTAGCATTTTTAGAGAAAGAATTAGACTTTAGAAAGGCTGTGTTGTTTTCCAATGTTATTTTGAAAGGATTTGCGGGCAAAGGTTATTAATACTGCATGTTATTTGATGAACTTGTGAACTTGAAAACCCTTGAAGTGGTAAGGGAGGTCATCTTTTAGATTATGGTTTTTGGAACTTTGGTTGTCTTTTTTATTGTTTATGTCAGAGGGAATAGGTTAAATTCTTAAGGTAAAAAGTTCATATTTCTTCGTTTTGCAGAATGGGTGAATGGATAAATCTTTGGTGCGCCTGGATCTTCGTACAGCAAGGATTTAATAAGTGGAACATACTCTTAATAAAAAAGAATGCAACTTGATGATTGGGGAGGAGATCAGAAAGTAGAAAATGTATCAGGTTTAAGCCTCACACCATTAACTCTCAACTGATAACCCATCATAATAGCCTGTCATCGGTGTACTTTATGAAACGGCGACACTATAGTTTGAATTAACTAATACCTTTCTTAGAACAAAAATAAAAATTAGACTCAGATTTGGCTATGAGGATCCTCTCGTTCGCTTGTTCTCATATTATTTTTTATTCTCAATGTTGTAGAGCTTATTAGTGATCAATCGCCGCCCTTTTTTTACCGAATTTCGTTGGAAATTTTATTCTACACAAAAAGATTATTACAAAAGATTGGCTATTAATTCTACTGAAAACGCCACACCCAACCGAAAAAGTAATACAACTTAAGAAGTGAAAAACAGAAGAAATGTTAGCCATTTACAACTCACGCAAAATATATTAAAAATGATCGCCATCCATTGTTTTTAAAGCTATTAATAGAGGAAATTTAACACTGTTGGTAGAGGTGTTAGATTTCCTTCAAAAGAATGAAACTTATGGTTTGGTTTGACTACTTGGAAGACATGAATTGTTGTCTACAAAGGAATCTTCTAGCACAATGAAACAACTCAAGTTGAATTCCATATTTTAGACAAAAAACATGATTTTTTGCGGAGGGCTAATTCAAAATGTATATGTGGACTTCAATGAGATTTTCTTCCTATTGTAAAATGTTAAAGTAAACAATTAATTAATGATTATAAGTGTTTTTAATTAGAATTAATTAAACATAATTCTGAATAAGTTAAAATTTAAATATTTTTTACATGCTAAATTGCATTTTTTTCATGTACCTCTCTTGTTTAGGTGGTTCGAAAACTGTTCGTGCAATTCCCCTTGCTTTCACCTACAGAAATCCCACAACCCACTTCCCCCACCCCAAAACAACTCTCAGATTCATTTTAGAAACCGCATAAAAGGGTCTGAGAATCCCACTTTGAACCATCCTTCCTCTCTCATTTCACGTTACCTTTCTGTTTGGTTTGAAACCCTTACTCTGGGTTCTCCTTTTTAGGATGTCAAAGATACATCCGTATCCTCAATGTGTTCGCATGAATTTAACCCCTCCATCTCTTCACATGTTCACTTGAATAAGAAGTTCGAAGATCTCACTCGTTTGCTTGCCCGCGCCCCCTTCCTCTACTTCTCGCAGAATGTCGAGGCATTTAAAACTTTCGTCTCTCTCTGTGCCTGGTCTCTCCATACACCGAACTGTCTCCAATATTCTTTAATGCGGCAGATTTTTGTGTGTTACTTTTGTAAATATTTTTTAATATTACAAAATACACACAATAGTTTAATAATAAATATGCATTGTAAACCAAAAAAAATAACTTTAATAAAAATAATTTTATCTTTTAAGAATCTTTAAATTGCCAAATTCCCAATATTAACACAAATATACGTATCGCTCAAGTAATAAAATGCTCTAATAGAGTCCTAGATATCGATCCCAAAGGGAAGTTGGAAATGCTTATAGGTAAATTCTTATGACTATAATGTAAAATAGAATTCAAACTACAAAAATGAAGTACGAAATTTTAATTTAAAATAATTAAGTGTATGCTAAATAAAATGCAGATGAAATGAAATAGTTTATTTAAACTAATTGCTAAACATTCAAAAGTAAACTTATAAAATCTAAACAAAGTTTTGTGACGAAAAATTCAAATTTATGAAAACATCGTTCTCCTTTACAATGAGTATATGGATTATGAAAAAAATAAAATCATTTAAAAATATATAAAAATTATTTTGTGCTAAATAAGAACAATTCTATTATTACCCTCTTCCGAGTGCATAAAAAACATTGACTAATCTAGAATTTGGTCCCTAATACTATGGTTAGGCTGAGAGGATACATACTATCACTCTAGAGCCCACACTACTCTCTCACCTAAGGGCTAATAATCTCGCATTAGTTTCCAATCAACTGAACCAAATTGAGGATTTTAATATGTCGCCTTAAAATCTCTTATTTTGCATCCAACAAAGTGTATTTCCTTATTTATTTGCTTTCAACCCTATAGATGACATTCTTTCCCATAAAATCGAATGTGATTCTCACTATGTTGTAGAAATCATAGCTCTTTCGGATCATATGTTTCTCAACACATTTTAACATTTCAATTGGCCAGATAGAAAGTAAATGAAGATCAGAGTTCGAACCTTAAAAAATTATTGACATTTAAAACTGTATAAAATAAAATCAATTCTTCACAAAACCAAATCTTATTATAGGGAGAAGAATAAAAAAGACTACTCAGAATTCTTGAGAAAAAAATAATTTCATATATTAAAACAAGTTTACTAAAACAAAGACACAACAAGTTCACTTTCCCTCTTTACAAATACTCTCAATCTTCTTTTAGAAGTGTAATGGAGAAGAAATCTCTCATATTCCCTCTCTTATTACAATCGTAGAAGAAAATCTCCAAGTTTTTGACTTTCTTTCTCTTTCACCCCTCAATTGCCTCTCTTTCGAACCCCCCTTCACGCCACCACCATGACCTAGACTTTTCGCTCTTTTATTAGAAGCTGCCTCTCTCCAAAAAGAATTTAAAATTTCTTTCAAAATTCTATCCAAAAGTCACCTTTTTGAATTCCAAAAGATGTGTCAATTGATCCAAGAGACATATCCCTTCATAAAAGAACCTTTCAAAGTGTCTAGATGTATTGAATCACTCCATGGGGTGTTTTGAACAAGTGGTCCCTTCAAACTTAGCGCAAAATTCATCCCGAACCGCCTTAATTGAGGCGCTGGTTCTGGCGCTTCATGCGCTAAGTCGCTTTAGACCGTGTTGTTCTGAGTTTTTGCGCTTCAGGTGTCAACTATGAAAAATGATGCTTCAGGCGCCAGCACTCTGTAAAGTGGCGCTTCAGGCGCCAGAATCACAAAATTCGTTGTTTTGACTCCAAATTTCTTTCTTTTTGCTACTTTTGCTTTAAATACCAGAAATTGATATATCTGCAATAAAAACATGAAAATACTCTTATTTAAAGTTCAATATCACCAAAAATAAACATTAAATGTATACTTAAAACAACACATTATTTTTGTTGTATCATTCTACTTGCTCCGCTTGTCCAATCACGCGAACCCATAGCCGAACGAATCTCCTAATCGTAATTTCCTCTCGACTACATAAGCCATGATCTAAATCCTCGTGATCTTTCTCAATTCATAAGACTAGGCCCTTCGATTTCCTGTCTCTACCAACAATAACCAAACATAATCCTTTTATCACGCCTCCACTACATCTACAATGTGGCAAAGAAGTCTTACCCTTTTTTTCCTCCCTTTTGTGCGCAAATCAAAAACTTCTTTTGCTCTAGTCTTCTCCACGCACTATAGAAGCGTTACTGTAACTGAAAATCGAAGCTTCTTGCTTTGTCTCTCTTTCGACCCAACCCAACGCCGCTCGAATCTAGTCCTTTGCTTTGCTTGAGTTTCTTAGCAAGAAATCCTATGTTTTTCTTTTCTCCGCATTTAGCTAACCCAATAGTCCCTTTTTCATGATAATTATAAAAAAAATCAGAAATTCAGAAAGAGTACGTGTTTGTTTTATCTATATCCATTTCAAAACTGTCATCGCCATCGACTTTGCCAAGTTCACATGCAAAGGTATAACAAAATGGGTCGATGAAATTTTTCCTAAAATATCCATTCAAGGAAGCTCGAGTACTTATTTAGTTGAATTAAGTATCGTTCATAAAGATTGTGTACTCATTTGGAAAGTTTTTATAAAAATCACGAAATTTAAGTACCTGTTTTGGGAAACGTGAGCGCCTATTCCGGTAATTAAGCACTATTCAAGAAAAATAAGCACCTATTCGGGGAAATATATACTTATGATTTTTTTTTTTAGGTATATTGAAGGCCTATTGTCTTATACACCATAGGTTAAAGTGCTTTGCTTGGCTTGGTCGTAATGTCTCTTGACATTAATCAATGTGTTTCATAGACATTTGGCTTGGTTGACATTCTTCCAACGCCCCATAACAGGGTATATGTCGGAATGCTACCAAAATCTTATGTCAATTTGGGTTTGTAAATATTTTGAACTTTTGGATTATTTAAACTTGTTAAAATGACTCAAATTATTTATTCAATTTAAAGATATAAAAATATTTCGATTTTGACCTATTGACTTTGAAAAGAAATATTTCAATTTAGGTTCTTAAGGCTTGAAAATAATTTAAAATTGGATTTTTAAATTTAAGCTCTTAAGGTTTTAAAATCAATTAAAATTGAGCTTATTCCACCTTAGGCTCTATGGGTTAAAATCAATTCAAAGTTGGGCTTTTCGAATTGACTTCTAGGGTTAAAAATGATTCAAATGTGAAATTTTAAATTTGTAAAATAATTTAAAATATAATCATTTGGGCTTATAAAGTGATATGATAGCTTGCAAAGAATCACTGGAATTAATAATGATTGAAGCTTATGAAGGTCCACTTAGAAGATGTGCAATAGTTCATTTAAAAAAGAAAATCAAGTCATCTCAGAGAATGTATAATCACTCATTTATAAGACTCAAAATTTGTGAAATGTTTAAGAATTCAACAAATTATAGATATCTTGAGTTTAACATTCCAATATCGCCATCAAATTCACAATACACCTAATTGCGAACAAAAGGTGACTCTTTTAAAACGCAAAATATATGTCACAACCTGGTCTGGTGTTTGGAATTAACCAATGCGAATACAGATGGTCGGACGGTGAGAATTAGGTTTTCTATATTCATGTAACATTTAATAAATGAATGAGCCACTAAAAAAAACTAAATTAAAATAGTACAATTAAATTTACTTCATTACAAGTTGTTCGCATCTTCTATAAACATTTTCTCATATATTGTGCCTCTTTTAATCAATAAATGCATATGAAATGTTAGTTTGAAACAATAGTGAGTTAATTAAGATTAGTGAATACTTACACTTTTAAATTACAGTAATATAAAGAAAAATAAAATAATATGCGTCTAATTATGTTTTTTCATAAATCAATATAAAATATTTGATTATTTAAGAATATGATCACTTATGGTAATTTATGTTATTCAATGAATTTATTATATCAATATCATATTTATATCAATCTATACATGAATAATCGTCACAGGAGCACTGTTTAAAAACTATACCAATTAAGGTACTTCAATGTCAATATCTCTTTCCATTTACATGCACAGGTACCTTAACCTCCCCCCGCTAGTACTATAAAAAGACAATTCTATCATAGTGAAACATACACATATAAGCACATATATAACTAATATTATTCATATTCTTATCTTATAACATAAAACATAATATTTGTATCTTTAATCAACATGTTATAATGTTTACTAGAAGGAGATCTAACATTCTGATATAACCAATAAATAAACCCCTCCCCCGCTCCCTGCACCAAACCGTCTCCACTATTCTCCTTGCTCTTCCTGTCCAATTCGCCACCCACAATAAAAAATTCTCTCAACCATAATTTACTCTCTGCGGCATAATTCATGATCGAAATCCTCTTGATCTTTCCTGATTCATAAAATTGACCCCTTCAATTCAATAACCAAACAAACTCCCTTTATCACGCCTCCGTTACGTTACACTG